ATGCACGAGCATCCAGTAGTCTCCACCGATCCCTGCTTACTAACCAGCACCCACGCCGAGTGGTTTGGACTGCTCGACTGGCTGGGGTGCACATTTGCTTTTAAAAAGACGAAATCACCCTCGCTGTGTAACAGTACACGACCCACTTTCCTCAGTTTAGCGGAAGTCGGATGACAAAATGCGGAAGAGCGAAGTATTAAAAGTGGGCGGGGCGGAATAAGTATGGTAATAATAATAATAATGTAAATGTCTTGAACAAGCAATGCTTCAAAGTATGAAAATACAACTTATGAAAATTTTTATTAGCATTTTATTGTTTTTTTCCCCCTTTTTTTTCCCATAGCAAATCTCTAAAGACTCCTAAATCAAGATACATTTACTTAAACTTTAAGTCTTTTTACATCAAAATTCTTGTTTTATAAGAAATTGATGTTCGTGTTTAAAACAGGAACACATATTAGCCAAGTTGAAAAATCAACTTAATTCAAAGGGAGTCATGCCCTCCTGACAGAGGATTGTTCTTGTTTTAAACATAAATTCACTTAATTTTGTTACATTTCTCAGAAAACAAGACTGCATATGTTCAATTTGCATCTCAAGTAAATGCATCTTGATTTAATAATGTTTAGATATTTACACAGAAATAAAAACAAAATTATGCATATATTTATTTACATGCATGTATGTATGTGTACATATATATATATATATATATATTTACTGCTGTTTTACAATTATCATTCCACCATGGTACTAATTTCCTTTTTTTTATACCTTTACTTTTAGGTATAGTTTCTATTGCTGCTGCTAATATTCCTTGCTTTATTTCATTATTTAATAACTCTATATCTGTATTATTATCAATTTGACTTAAATATTTATCACTTTCTGCTTGAAACTTTTCCCAATCAGCTTTCTCAAACACCCAATTTCCTCCTCTTCCATCTACTTTTTCCACTACAGAGATGTTGACTTTACATATAACCGGATAATGATCACTCCCTATAGTCCCATCTTTATATACTCTCCAATTACAAACTGATGCCAAATGATTTGATACCAAAGTAAGATCAAGTACTGATTCCTTTCCTGTCCTAATATCAATCCGAGTCTTATTTCCATCATTTAGACACACTAATTTCCTTTCTTCCAATAACTCTTCTAACACTAAATCATTATTATCAGTTTTTCCACATTTCATTCGTCCAGTCGAACGTTTAATAAATAAATAAATATTTTTAGGGTGAGCATCTTTTACCTCAGCAGAGGGTTTGTTTATTCATGGGCAGGCTGATGTACAGTGCGTGCGCAAAGGATTGTGGGCTCGGCGCGTATGTTTCCATCATGGCGGCATCAATTTCGGGATACACTTTTAGTTCTGTGTGTTATCACAGTGCCAACAGCAGTTCCGACCATGTAAGTACTCTGTCATCTGACTTTGAGGGTAAATGTTTAAGAGCACGATCGCACAGCGAAACAACAAACAGTTTATTCCATCAAATCAGAATTAATTCATTTCCCGGTGTCATCTTCCTGGTGTGGCTTCAGCCTGGCTGACAGCTAGCAAACCTACAAGCCGAAAGATTTTACAAGCTTGTCAGAAAGTGTCACTGCCGTTTATTCACTGTATGATTGCTCGCTGTCATAAATGGACACCGCCCAGTAGCGATTGGTGAATTAAATCTCGTCGATGTCGTCTTATAGGTGTCAAGATTAAGGCTAAATTGTTTGTCAGCAACAACTGTCAAATGCAAACTTGAATGTCTAACAGACATTAAATGAAGTGTTCACAAATTGCTTAACATTTTCTAGCCCCTTTTGCTCTTTGTGTCATTCCCTTTAGTGTAGTAGTTGAGGCATTAGGAAGTAGGAGATCTGCCATTGACCCTGCAGGCTTCGCATAGTTGTTTTGAGCTGGTTAGTCTGGTGTTATGCTTAACCTGTTTTCATTCAGTCAAAGATTTGACAGTTTTTACTGTTTTTCCTTATTGAATATCTAAATGGCAACCATTCTAATTTTGATTGGAGCTTGTCTATGGGATAGATTGTCAATTTACATGGTGTTATTATGTGGGCTTTTGATACTAAACCACCTTTGTAACGTAATTTTATTTTAATTGGAAAAAATAATCTGCATTTTCAGTGTGATCTCAAACTGAACAAGTAAATAACCAGGGAAGTTGTGTTGTGTTCCTGGAGAACAGTGTTTCTGTTGTTCTCTCATTGCAGCAGTGTTTGGGAAATTTCAGTTTTTCAGACCTCCTTGTATAAACTTGTCTATTTTGTAACATATTCATTGCATGAATTCTGGGTACATTCACCTAATATGGTACATTTTGGCATCCCATGACCATTAGAGGTACAGATTAGGTTTTGTATATTGCTTTTTAAACGTATCAAATATCTGTATTCCCCTTAAAATGGCATTTGGCCTGTTACTGTAGGGGACAAAATATTATATATATATATATTATTAGTTTGTCAATAACTAAAAACTAAAACCTAGTTACAGACTAGCAAGCCCTGGCTAATTGACAGCTTATAGGCTTATATGATAAAGCTGAAATGCTGTTTTAAATAAGCAAATAAATAAATGTGTTTGTACTTTTAGGTTGTTTTCAACATTTGTATTTTTAATGTTTATTTTTATTTCGTGTTTATTGCTAAGAAATTGCTAAATCATAAAAGGGTTTTAAACTATATGAAGACATCCCAAATTTTGTGTAATAATAATAGTAATTATTACTTCATTTTAAAACAGTTGCAGGCCTCCTCAAGTATCCTGTTTGTTGAAAGTGTCTATTAACTTGCTGTCATAATAACATTCTATCTTATGCTGGGTACACACCACAAGATAATCGGGCTGATTTGGGGATTTCTCCCCTTCCGACAATCCTAGGTAATGTCCCGATTATCTTGGTGGTTCTAAAGATTATCTTATCAGAAATCCTGATGTGTGGGGGGAACATCACGGCACACCACACACTATAGGAGCAAAACGGTTAAATCTAGGATTTTTTGTCCTCATGTTTGTGGTCTCTCACATTTTGAAGATCTTATAAGATTTAAAAAATCTTTTAGTGTGTACCCAGCATTAACTACACTGTCTTTGCCATTGAAATGCCATTTTATGTTTCTTTTAGGAGGGCTTCCTGCTGGGAGAAGTGAGACAGGAGGAGACTTTAAGCATCAGTGACTCACACATCGGTAGCTCAGAATTCCTCAATGTAATAGGTAAATCCATGGTTGATTATTTTTTACCGTCCTAAAGCTACAGACAAAAGTTAGAGTTTTTATTTAATGACCATTTTAGTTTGGTAAACTTTATCATGCATTGCCAAAACATGAAGGCTCAAATCACAGACGTGATACGTTTCATAGTGAGGACGTGACGACCTTCCTGTGCGAGCAGAGGGACTTTATCAGTTCAAGATATGGTTTGATGTAATCTGTTCAGTCTCAACTATTCAAAGTAGGGCTGCACGATTATGACAAAAATCATAATTATTTATTATTCCCTTGAAATTGTAATTGCGATTATTAATTACGATTATCACAATTTACATTGAATGATGTTTATACCATTGTTTGATGCAACTGCATGCCGAATTTTTATACTGTTTTTTGAAAGTAATAGTTACATTATAATATTACTGTCTCTGAATTGTAATGCGTTACACTACATTTGAGTTACTTTTGAGTTACTTTCACTTTCAAGCACAAACCGCAATTACATTCAGAAATCATAGCGGTAAATAAAGCGGAATGTTATAAGCCCTAATGTACAAATAATAAATACAACAGCTAGCCTATAGGCCATTTTAGTTCTCCTCACTCCACAACAAATCCTCTAAATTTAACGGTATTCAGAACAAAACGAATGAAAAATAAGTTGCTAAACAAGTCAAATCAAATTAATTTAACGCGAAACTGAAATCAAACGCGTTAGTTCTCACGCAGCCTACCTCTCTCATTCGGCACGAATCCAAATGTTTCCATATTCACGATGTATTTGATTGCTAAACTATCATTTATTATGTAAACCAGGCTTTGTACTTAACGCGGATTGTACTACGGACTATTTTAATTAACGAGTGTATATGTTTGGTTGACTGTATATTATTCTGATAATGAACAGGCTGCAACATTTGCAATGCTGTATTGTGTGTGCGTGAGGCGCCTTCGAGATCGAACAGCGGAAAATACTCCGTAATTTTTGATCATACAGATCATTCAAAACTGCAATGTGTTGACTTTTATTTTAGGATGCGCTTTCTGTCGTCTCGGTTTCCTTTCCGTGAACTTGTTTGTAGAGCGCCGCGCCACACAAAAATGAACCAAACTCCGCAGCATATACACTCAGTCTTTTCCTTTCGTTTTGTAAAGTCAAATATATTTAGCGTATTCATTCATTTTATATAAACTTCATTTCTGTTGCTTGTCCGCTGCATTCTTTCTCTCCTCCGACCCTGCAGCTCTCACGGTTAGTGTTTGTGGCACAAAGTAACTGTAATTTTGTTACTTTTGTAACGCGTTACTCCCAGCACTGTCAGTCACAGCCAGTGTTGTGGAGTAACTAGTTACATGTAACTGAATTACGTAATTTAATTACAAAATAAATGTAACTGTAATCAGTTACAGTTACTGAGAAAAATGTGTAATTAAATTACAGTTACAGATTACAATGGGGGTTTCATCTGAATTTTTTTCACACACATACAGATTTAATTGATTTCTTTCATAAATTGCAGTGACTGCCCTAAAATATGATACACCAATATTTCAAGAATTTAGGACACATGCTTATTCGATAGCTGTTTTATTTCCTATTTGGGTTTATGTATATGCTTAATTATTTTTAATATTTACTGTTTTGTTTTTTTCGACAGCATTGTTAGATTCCAGTATTTCCTGTGATAGTTATGCAAAGATTTGAAAAACAGTATCATAGCTACTAAACTATTTCTTGTTATGGTTTTAAATCTGTATTTAACCTCAGAATGATCTTAAAGTAAGTTCTGATTTTGTGGTTGCTGTGCTTTAAAATCAAATTTTACTTGAATCTTAATTCAAGTGATGAAAGATTTTAAAAGTCTGACAGTAATCAGTTGAATACTACTGTAAGGTCAACCCTGCCTGGTTTACATGTTTGAAAATTATTAACAGTTGAAAACATTAGAAATTTAGAAAAGTAATCAAATGTTATCAGTTACATTAATGTAATTAAAAATATTTATACTACTTAATACATTTTAAATAGGGTAACTTGTAATCTGTAACCTATTACATTTCCAAAGTAACCTTCCCAACACAAAAGTATGTACATGCTGGTTAATACATACTTATGGGAAAATGTAATCCTGTTGGGTACAAGTTCTCAAAATATGATAAAATCATGATTCTGTTAACTGTTTAGAGACTTGTCTCTCATATTGTTATTTCATAATACCATGCATAATGTTTGCAAATGGTGTGATGTAGCTGAGACCGTGTTTATGAGCATTTCTGTTGCAATTTGGATCTTTATCTCAGCAGGTATAATCAGAGGATATCTCTAAGCATCCCAAACCTGGGCAACACCAGTCAACAGGAATATAAAGTCTCATCTGTGCCGAACATCTCCAAGAACTACGCAAGTGTCATTAAAGAACATGGGTGAGGCAACCTGACTGCAATGTTCAATATTCCTCTTTAGCCGTGTCACAAATTGTAGATACAGCAAATTATTTTGTTATTTTGTTTTTACACTACCATTAAAAAATGTTCACCAAGGCCGCATTTATTTGATCAAAAATGCATCAAAACAGTAATATTGTGAAATATTATTAGAATTTAAAACTATTCAATTTGAATATATTTTAAAATGTAATTCATGCATGTGATTGCAAAGCTGAATTTTCAGCATCATTACTCCAGTCTTCAGTGTCACATGATCCTTCAGAAATTATTCTAATACACTGATTTGGTGCTCAAGAAACATTTCTTAATAATATCAATGTTAATAACAGTTAAGCTGCTCGATATTTTTTGTAGAAACCATGATACAGTTTTGCACGGCATGTAAAACAAAAAAGTCTGACTTTTGCTGCAGTAAATACTTGAATAAGTGTTTATTTATTTATTTTTAATAATAATATTTTTGTTATTGTTTTTTTTTTTAATTTATAGGACCGAGTTCTTTGATAAGGATGGGGTGATGAAAGACATTCGAGCTATTTTTCAAGTATACAGTGCCCTTCAAGAAAGAGTGCAGGTGAGTTACACTCTTATAATGTTTTTGAACTTTCAGATAACTTCAGGAGATGTTGGTTAAAATACACCACAATTTGCTAACATGTAATAACATTTAAATGTTTTAAATAAATAATGCTGAGAATGTGCTATCTATGAATTTTAAGGATTCACGATACTGGATTTTGCCGATATGTGATGTTCTGATATTTTTCAACTCATTTTGGCCGATAGCCAATACCGATATTCATTTCCTTTTATTTGGAAACATCACCAAGTCTCTCCTGTGCAGATATTATAAACAAATTATTTTTAATTTTGGTTAGTTTTAAGCAAAAACTTACTTGTTAGAACTAAATAAACATTATTAAAGCTATTTTTATAAATACATTGAAAGCTTTGAAAATAACTATAATAAAATCAATCACTGCTGAGTTTTGTTTTGTTTTTTTCCGACAGATGCCGTTGTAACCTTATTATTTTATTTGTAGATTTAACATTTGTAGATGGTCTAAAGCAGAAGAGCTGTAAAAATTCTAAAAATCGCTAGCACACTCACATCACATGTGAGTTATTCATCTTTATTTAATATTGTGACGATGCCGATGTTTACATTTTAAGCCTTATCCGCCAATTCGGATGACGTTCCAATAATATCATGCATCCCTCATGAATTTTCTGTCATCCTGCAGGCGGTGTGTTGTGAAGTGGATCAAAGTGAACGAGTGAGAGAGAAAATCCAAGAAGAAGTGAACAAACTCAAAGAGGAAATCGCTCTCAGGAAACGTAACAGCGCTGAGGAAGAGAGAAGTATGTACTGATGACTCTGCGCATTTGATGCTTGTTTAACAAAAAAAGGAAACAATTTCCTTGAATATCTTCTCTATTTTCCTCACAGGACTTCAAGAGGCAGCCGCTGTCACGCTTCCCGATAACCCTGCCATTCCCGACTCCTCACACTCTTCGCTGACTCGAGTCATGCTCTCAGGTCCCTCGGTGGAGCCCAGTTTAGAGAGACCCGTGAACTCGTCATCTCCACCAATCTACAGCACCACACTGCTTCCAGATTCACCAAGCGCTATACTGCTGCCGCGGCCCCAAGCCGTAGGTTCGCCCGGCCACCCGTCTCCCAGTCTGGGCCTGGGCAACGGAGACGGTTCGAGCTCAGATTCCCTGAACCGTCAGGCCACCGGCCAGGAAGACCAGGAGGATGATGATGACGAGGACAGTAGCGAGTACGAAAATTTAGTTAGCGAGCAATTGCAACCACCTTCCTTAACGGAAACTGTTACATTAGGACGCCCGGCTACCCTGTGGCCCGACAGAGACGCCCACAGCCCGCCGGGCTTATAGTAGTTGAACAAACTAACGGGGATATTGACGAACGAACAGAACTAGGTGTGATCGTGAGGTCGGTGGTGTTCAGAACACAAACAAGCACTTGCCTTTTGTGAGTTATGACAATGCTGTCCTGTTGCACACATTTAACAGCTCTGTGCAGGGGACGAACTCTGAAGTGGAATGGAATGATATCCCCAACCATGTGGACAGACAAGGCCCCCTTTTCTTCGTTTTATGCTCTCCTCTCTGGTTTTGTTTGGGTGGAGAGGTGCATCCTGCTTCTCTCGGCGTCTGCTACTCACTGGAGTCATTCAGTTTTTGCACCATTCACCTCTTGCACTGTTTTGCCTTCTTTTGATCTGCATTTGAATAGAAAAGCAAAGGGAATGATGTCTTTTTTTTGCGGCCTTCAAACTCTGTGTGAGCTTATTCCATGACTTGTTCGTTGTCTAGCTTCATTTATCTGAATGAACAGAAAAAAAATCAGTTATAATAAGTGCTTAGGACTTCAGCTGACACTTGAACAGTTCTTGTTCTAGAAAATGTATTTTATTTTTGGTTTTATCAGTTATATTTGATTTGATTGAGTAATATAATGGTCTATTAATGAAAAAAAAAGATCATTTTTGGTCAACGATTATAAAAAGTTACTTTGATAAGTGGTGCTTGTATTTTCTATGACATACCGTAGATCACTGCTAATTTCATTGGCTTAAATCAAACACATTTTTGTCCTAATGAATGAATCGAATATTATATTGTTTTCTGCTGCACTTCAAACGTTCACCATTGAGCTTTAACTGAAATTTTCGGTCGTACGGTTTGACAGAGCCAATCAGAAACTGGAAGGGTCAGAATGCAGCATCATCGATCTCAGGATTCTTTTGCAGTACAAGGACCGTTGCTTTCTCGCATCTTCTTGTCCACATGCCTTTGTTGTTTAGTTGAGAAGACGTGATTGCTCAAAGCAATGCGGCGGTGGATCAGTTTCGCGCTCCATGATAACGTGAAATAAAGATTTCAGCCATGTGCAGCAGATCTTTAAAGGTAGAAGCACAGTTTTGTCATGTTAGTGGATGTTTTGCTACGTTTGATCGAACCAAAATGACATTTTCCCTCAAAAGTTTGTGTGTGTGTGAATCTCAGAAAAACATGTCTGGGTCATTTTACTATTAATCATTAAATAATAATAATTTACCATTTAATAACAAATATATATGTGTGTGTGTGTACCATTAAATAACATATATAATAGTAAATGATAAATACTTTTATTTTATATTATTATTTAATGGTAAATTTGTCATTTATATACTCATAACTGTAAACAATCTATAGGTTTCACTTTCAAATTTGTTCTCTTTCTCATAATACAGTAATGTTTTACTGTGTCAGCGTAGGCAGAATAACATACTGCCATGATGTATAAATACTTGACAATTTAATTTTACTTTTAAAAACAATTTTTGCTATAAAGTTTATAGATTTAGGGGAAACTGACATTTAAAAATTGTCACAAAAAACTTAATGGTCCAAAAACAAGCTCTTAATATTTTTTTTCCAGTTACAAATATTATACAAATATATATATAGATTTGAAAAATGTGGAGTGAAATATGACTGTAACACGTTCTTGTGAGATTCACCCAGGTCGTGCATATTGTGAACAATTTGGACAAGTGACTTTAATCAGATTGATGAGCCGTTGGACTTTTTCACCCTAAAGAATCCAAAACTCTTATTTCTTAGATTTATCTCAGGATCTGACGCTCTGACATTTATTTTGGCAGAGGCCGAGAATGTCTCACTTTTCATTCAGTATATTTATCCAGTTCTGTGTAGGACAGTAAAATAACATATGGTTGTTCCCTGGCATAAGTGTAAATGAGAGTACACTGACAGAGATGTTTTAATCAGCTGTATCATGTTGCATTGACCGTCTGCTTTAAATGTTTCTGCTTCATATTCTGACTTTGGCATGTCTTCATGTGTACGGCCAAAAACCACCACCACCCATCACTCAACACGAACATGTAAGTGTTAAACTGAACAATGACACTTAAGTGGAGAGATGCCACATTTAAACTTGACATGGGCTTGTTTGGACAGCTGGCAGCCAGTCCCTTTAAAATGTCATTTTATCATAACATGTTCCTTAGAAAGTTCGGATGAACATAAATGCCACTTATGATGATAATAATAATAATTATATATATATATATATATTCACACACACACAATCTGATATGGATTTTTTTTTTCAACAAATATTTACTATTTATGATTAATCAGAGTAAATTTTCAGTGACCTCTTCTGAACATCTGAAGACAACTCAACTAAATCAGTGTCAATCCTGCTGCCATATTGTCTTTTGCCCTCTCCTTACAGATGCGTTCAAATCTGATAACGAAATAAATCCAAATGTGGCAGTGTGCCATTTTAACGGGGAAATTGCAATGATGTGATTGCCGTTTTTATTGTCAGTTTAGTCAGCTGCAGGTCAGACGTGACTGTTTCCCTGCGATCCAGCAGCTGTGAGTGATTAACATTGTTCCCAATCAGAACTGGACTGAAGTCTCTCATGTTTTACAAGTGCAGGCTGTGTTTGGCAGGCTGTTGCACTACTGCACCTGCAAGCATTAACCGTTCCATCTACTTCTGTCATAAATCTGTCAAAAGGTTTAAAAATATGAAGCAAATTCCCAATTATAAAGTAGTAGCAAAAACATAATGTGTTATCAGTATTCTTTGGTGGCTATTTTGCCCATTCTGCCATCATTTGCTCACCCTCACGCTTATGTAAAATGCAAAAGAAGATAGTTGGGGATTTTTCATGCTTCTCTTTTCCACACAATGAATGTGGATGGGGACAAGGTCCTGTCAAGCTCCATAAAGGCAAAAACAACGTAAAAGTGGTCCATACATATGCACTATATTCCAAACCTGAAGCCATATGTTGAGCTTAATGTGAGGAACTAACAGAAATGTAAGTAATTGAAGTTCACTTTCATTGTATGGAAAAGAGCAGCTTGAATAAAGCAATAAGCCCCAAGAAGCTGTGGTTTACAGTGAATTTATAACAGCTAAGGGGGTTTTAGGCACTCCGTTAACTGTTATAAATTCACTGTAAACCACGGCTTCACGGGGCTTATTGCTTTCATAAAACGGTTATTCCATATACGTAGTAAGGTTTCACA